TCGTCTCAGAGGTTTTACGAAAATGTAAAAAAAAACATATATTTCAGAATCCTGTGAAATCGGACTGTCACAGAAATTGACAAAGAAAACCTACATGTACAATATCACGTGCGTCGATGCCATTAGCTGTTCCATTCTTCATCGCTAAAAGGGGCGGACCCGCGTAGTCCTCCGCAAACTTGTACTCACGCCGCAATACCGCCATAAAAGGATCCCTTTCCCCCCGCTGTCTCTCGCCGAGCCCACCAACGTGGCGCAAGAAAAAGCGGAAATGACTTTACGACACCCGGTAGCGCACCCCACGCACTTTGTGAGCCTACTGTACTAATATCTCCTGCGAAGGAACGAAACGTTCTCTCGTGCACCTGCGGTATCGCACCTGTAAATTGCTATATCGCTACCTGGCGATATAGCAAGGGTTTCTAGACTGACTATTCTAGGCACATGACTAACAATAAGATAACCTTTAGAAAGAAGTTTATATAATAAAATGAATCACCGATGATGTTCATTTGTTATTATGAGCTTCGGTCCTATGCAAACGATGTTGTTACAAAGACAGGCAATAGACTATGATTACAGACTATGATTACAGAGAACGATAAAAAAACTTTTCACCGTTATTTAGACGTTTCATCAGAACATGCATTGTAACCGTCTATTGTAACCATAGCCTTACTAAATAAAGAAGAATTCGCACTCAAACGCGAAAGTTCTGCATCAATAAATAACGTGAAAACAGACAGCTGGACTGACGAGAACGATATTGCAACTTTCAGGGGGTGTTCACGTGTCAGCATCTCGGGGCTCGCCGCCAGGAGGATCCAACGTGGGCGGTGGACAAGGTGGTGGGCTAGGATCAGCCTTGAACTGTGGCCAGGGATCGCCTGGGACGACTTCTGGCAGCGGAGGTGGCGGCGGCGGTGTTTCCTGCGTGGCTGCTGACGTGAACGCAACCGAGGCGTCGGACTGGAGAGGCGCGCACAGCATCGCGGCGCTCAGGCGTCGTGCCTCGGATGCGTCGCAACAATATAGTCCACAGCCGCCGCCACCACCCGCAGGACCACCCCAGTACGCCCAGGACATGGAGTACAATTCTGTTTACTGAGGTCCCGCCAGTTTCGCTATCAATTCGACGATAAATCCTATCGGGGAAATGTTTCAAGGATTTCCTTCATGGATGGTACCGAACGGTCAACGTGCAGGGTAGCGGATCAAAGTAATGCATGACGAGAGGGAAGGACACATTGTGCCAGGATGTTTCTCTTTGCTCCTCGTGATTGTCACTTCGGAGGCGTGACACGGATCTACGTTCGCCACGACATAGATACGGTTCCGATTTTCAGCGATTTCAACGATGGACAGCAACATGGCATGGGATTCTGTCTGTCGAGATGTTCCCGATAATATCGAGTATTCGTTGTTATTTTTATTCTCGAGTTACGTATGGTTAAAAAAGAAAAAGTGGAAGAAGAAGAAGAAGAAGAAGAAGAAGAAGAAGGAAAAGGAATTCGATAAAATTTTATTACGTTACTGCATACTGGCCGTGTCAAAACGATAAGTTTCGAATCATACGAACGTATGGTAGACACCAGAAACCACTGATAGAAACTAAGTCAGCAACAACGAATTTTAGTTATCTCTACGATGGTTATAGAAGATACGTCAATGTTGGTTTTATTCTTACTTGGCTGAGTCAATTTGTAATTACGGATAGAAGTCTCTATTACAGATAGAAGAATCTCTATCAATTTTAGCAACGATGCTGATATTTCTTCTGTCAATACGTGTGATCGTGATATTCGAGAAAAGTAAGTCGTCAGACTGAACGAGTAAATTAAAAAACATTGGGAAGGTCTTTAAAAAGACGAATAAGAGAGAAAAAGCTTCGTTTAAATTAAAGAAGATATACGCATTAGTGACTTTTTCAAGAGAACTCGTGTCATATTGAAGCTGTGCAACGCTGAGAAGATATGGTGGTTACTTCATATATACATATATTAACTCTATCACGGATACTCGTCGGACGATTTGCTACATTCTATGCATTTGTAACACGTTTCTAAGTTCCAATTAACAATTTGTACACCAATAATTCCATCATTGTTAGAAATGAAACGGACATGAGTTTGATTTTACTAATATTTTACTTTTACTTAAATTCTTACGAAATCACTTACGGAAATCAATCGACTTATTTAGTCGAAGTCTAGACCAGTTATGTGAACAAAAATTTGTTTTAATTCTATGAAATTCATTTTTCATTTCATGCTCTTTCAAAGGAATTTTGAAAATCAAGTAATAAATTCGTGGCACAGTGTAACGAAAAAGTATACGACAAGTTACTATAGTATTACGTATGGCATTGTAAATATGGTAAAAAAATTGACGTAACAACTATGATCGATTATAATTATTGTTACTATTAAGTTTAGTAATATCACTGATAACTTTTTGAATGAATCTAGTTGAGTTTGCTTCCCTTTCGAAATTTACTTTCAAAAACCAAAACAATGCTACTTTTTCATAAGTTTTCCGCTTCACCTGAATTTTATTTTATTTAAATGAATTTTATTAAAAGAAAAGCCTATTCGCCAATCCCTTTAAGTTAATATGCAAAAGAGGATCTAGCCTTTTACTCTGTTTAACTTTATGTTTCGAACGCAGACTGGTTTAATTCTTGAAGCGCGTTAAAATGTAAGTAAATTGCTTGAGAGAAGGTGACATGTACTGAACGACAAATTTCATTGCTTCAAAAATACCAGTGTGTGTGTGTGAGTGTAGCGTTGAATTTTGCATGGAAGGAACAGTACTTTGAGTAAACTAAAATGAAAAAAATTAGCATTTTCTGCGTGTTGCATTTTCCAAATAATATCCTAGAACGCTACAAGCTATAGATTGTTTCTGTTGTTGTATACCGGAGAGTAAGTTTTGTAAATAGAGTATACGTTTAAACAATTAATAATAATTAAATATTGTAAGCGAACACGACACCCCATTTACGAACGAAACGTACGCGAGTATACTTGGACATTGTGATATTTTAGGCCCGCTGTTCCATTTTTTTCGACAGCGACAAGCCGTGTACATGATATTGCAAGAAGAATAAGCGGTACCACAGTAGTGATCGCGAGCGACGACGAACGTCGATTATTCTAGTTACGAATTTATGGTAGTCTTAGGTAAAAGTTAGTGATAAATATGAAATGAACGATATGCAGTTGTCAGTGTATTACTACGAAATGTATACGATTTTTAATGTACAAAAAAAAAATAATAATAATAATAATGATATAGCCGCGAAACGACGATATTTCTTCGGAATTTCATCCTGCTGGTACGATTTGTGTTCGGGATGAAATATCTTATACTCGAACTGAATTCTAGCGATTCTTTCGTCTCCTCTTTTCTTCTTGTTCGTTTCTTTTTCCCCCTAAAAATATTTTCTATACACCTACCGACTTGCACATTTTTATACATATTTAAATAAAATCGAACGCCTGCATACACAAGACATTTACAAAATTTATTTATCGGCTGCGTGCATGGATGAAATGATTTCACGAAGATCGAATCTGTTAGAGTGTCGTGCTTATTAGCGGATTGAACTAAATTGCATGAATATTTTGTAATGATATGATCGGTTATATATTTCATGTGTTCTTCTCAGCTCTATATTTTACAAGCAATGAAATATATTTGATAGAACACGTCGCAAAAGAATGGACTGACTTTATGCATCTTTAACACAAATCATTATCGTCAATGACCTTAATTAGTGATAAATAGAAAAATTTTAATTTTTATCGTTGTATAGTTATGTATAGAAGACAACTAAGTGTGTAAAATAAATCATTATCAAAAAGTCAAATTTTTTTATATATCTTTAATAATTTCACTGATCAAACCCTGACCAACGATCCGACAAATTTTTACTGGAATACCTTTAGTAATACAAACACCGTTTTTATTTGAAAATATACATTTCCATATTTGTGAATACATATATTACGTTTGTGGCAATTGTACATATAGATATTAAAACGGTATTGAAAAAAAAAAAACAGAGATTAAGAAAAATAAAAAAGAAGAAATATAAAGCAAGTTAGATATGAGCATTATAAATACTAGATAGTACATTATTATCTAATATTAAATGCAATCTCAGGTACTAGAAAAATACTGTCTTTATCAAATACATTTGAAAAAATAAAAATTTATAAACTGATTAAACAAAACACCTTGAAACAAAAAAAAAAAATATATATATATATATGTAATCCATTCTTTATATTCTCAAGGGATATGTTAATAATTTGAAAAATGTAGTTACATAATATAATTTGTAAATAGATATCGATATTTAATACATACTGTTTAGATTTGGTCATTTTTTCAAGTGTTATTTGCAAGGCCATAATCATCAGGTAAGTTATAATGTTAACATAAATATTCTTACAATTACAATTAATAATTTCGATAAATTTTAAACATACATTACATACACAATAAACAAACATGTAATGTGTTTGAAATTTATCGAA